GTCGTGAAATCCATGGATAAGTTTAAGTTATTTGATTACCTGCTTTAATTTAAATTAAAGTACTAGCCCTACACCAATCTCACAGTTCTTTTAACAACTGCTGAAGTTTACATTAGTAAATGATTTTCTTCTAACATATGATCATTGTTTTAAAATGGATTTACAGTCCATTAGAAAATTCCACTAAGATTTGTTTTATATTTTCACTCACCACCGTATTATACAACAATAATGCTTCTACGTTATTGTTCCACAAATGATAAAAGGTAGGCCTACGCACTTATATTATTAATTACATAATAACGCTATTATCTAACCCATATGCTTTGAACATATAGGTACTTATTTTACAATTTGGGGCCAATAGTTAGCCAAGATTTGATTCTCTTACAAAATATTGAATATATTCTTGTCATTCTTATAACTAGGAAACAATTATTGTTTAAACACAGCAACTTCTGCACAGCAATATACAATATTTACTATAGACAATAATTTCACAACTGCCCCTATTAATCGATATTGAAACACCGCAAACATTTATATCGAAAGGTTAGTGAAACCAGTATAGTAATTAAATTAATAAAAAAAAAACTACGACCAAGATGATCGTCGAATAAATGTAAATTACTTTGGATTGATGAGTTATCCTATACTCTAATACGAGCAAAGTTTGCTTGTATGTATGCTTGAACCAAGATCTCGAAAACGGCTCCGACGATTTTCTTCAAATGTTGTATATAGTTTATTTCTGGCCTAAAAACGAGTTTACTGCAATTAGAACTGCCAACAAAAATCTAATTACGTAGAAAAATGAAACTGAAAATCACATTTTTTTAACATTAGTCTTATGGGTTGCTAGGTAACCATGTTGGCTGAATTAAATAACAAGGAAAAAGTAAACAAAAGACTTGTAATTTGTCTATCCACAGTATACTAGCAAAACAAAATACAGTACAAAAGGAAAAACATCAGTTGTTACTATTGAGCAAAGATTATACTGAAGATTACTCGATTCTATAGTAAAGGGTAGCAGTGTGGAGTGTGGGATCTGTTTATGACGATTAGATTACGGTATCTGCAATCCTTAAATGCTATGGAAAGGGAGGAAACAGGTCTACGACCATAGGAAGTGGCGAAGGCAGTAGTAAAGGCGAGCAGTCTGGAGTGTGGAAACTGTTTATGACGATTAAATTAAGGTATCTGCAATCCTAAAATGTAATGGGAAGAGAGGAAAACAGGTCCATGACGTAGGAAATGGGGAAGGAAGTTGTAAGGCTAGCAGTCCAGAGTGTGGGAACCGTCTGTAGCATTTATGTATCTGCAATTCTAAAATAGTATGAGGAAGGAGGGCAAACAGGTCTACGACATAGGGAGTGGTGAAGGAATTAATTAACAATTAAATTAGTAAGGGTGAGCAGTCTGGAGTGTGGGAATTGTTAATAACACACGATTAGATCAAGTTATCTACAATCCTAAAATGCTATGGGAAGGAAGGGAATCAGGTCCGCGACGTAGAAAGTGGTGAAGGAAGTAGTAAAGGCGAGCAGTCTGGAGTGTGGAAACTGTTTATGACGATTAGATTAAGGAATCTGCAATCCTAAAATCCTATGGGAAGGGATGGAAAGAGGTTCACGACGTAGGAAGTGGTGAAGGAAGTAGTAAAGGCGAGCAGTCTGGAGCGTGAAAACTGTTTATGACGATTAGATTGAGGAATCTACAATCCTGAAATGCTATGGGAATGGAGGGAAACAGGTCCGCGACGTAGGAAGTGGTGAAGGAAGTAGTAAAGACGAGCAGTCTGGAGTGTGAAAACTGTTTATGACGATTAGATTAAGGAATCTGCAATCCTAAAATGCTATGGGAAGGGAGGGAAACAGGTTCACGACGTAAGAAGTGGTGAAGGAAGTAGTAAAGGCGAGCAGTCTGGAGCGTGAAAACTGTTTATGACGATTAGATTAAGGAATCTACAATCCTAAAATGCTATGGGAATGGAGGGAAACAGGTCCGCGACGTAGGAAGTGGTGAAGGAAGTAGTAAAGACGAGCAGTCTGGAGTGTGAAAACTGTTTATGACGATTAGATTAAGGAATCTGCAATCCTAAAATGCTATGGGAAGGGAGAGAAACAGGTTCACGACGTAGGAAGTGGTGGAGGAAGTAGTAAAGGCGAGCAGTCTGGAGTGTGGAAACTGTTTATGACGATTAGATTAGGGTATCTACAATCCTAAAATGCTATGGGAAGGGATGGAAAGAGGTCTGCGTCATAGGAAGTGGTGAAGGAAGTAGTAAAGGTGAGCAGTCAGGAGTGTGGGAAATGTTTATGACGATTAGATTAAGGAATCTACAATCCTAAAATGCTATGGGAATGGAGGGAAACATGTCTGCGACGTAGGAAGAGGTGAAGGAAGTAGTAAAGGCAAGCAGCCCGGAGTGTTGGAACTGTTAATGACGATTAGATTAGGGTATCATCAATCCTAAAATGCCATTGGAAGGGATGGAAAGAGGTCTGCGACATAGGAAGTGGTGAAGGAAGTAGTAAAGGTGAGCAGTCTGGAGTCTGGGAACTGTTTATGGGAATTACATTAAGGTATCTACAATCCTAAAATGCTACACGAAGGGAGGAAAACAGGTCTATGACGTAGGAAATGGTGTAGGAAGTAGTAATGCTAGCAGTGCAGAGTGTGGGAACTGTCTGTGGCATTTATGTATCTGCAATTCTAAAATGGTATAGGGAAGGAGGGCAAACAGGTCCACGACGTAGGGAGTGGTGAAGTAACTAGTGAAGGTGAGCAGTGTGGAGTTTGGGAGTGGATTAATGTATCTGCAATACTTTTCAGAGTAAACTAACAATTTTCCCCGAGCAAAGCTCGGTCCCCAGGTACTAATATCATAAATGAAACACATTTAGCCCAATATGGATTATAACACAAACAGTCTTAAATTTTCATTATTGGTATAAAGTCAACTAAAAGAGTTGAGGTTGGAACTATTCAATCAAGTTCAAGGCAGAGGTACAGAGTAGGTGGCTCCCACACCGCCTTGCACCTTGCTGGAGTGAGGGATGGTGTTGGCTGCCCCATGGATAGACAGAGTGCCGGGGCCGAGCTTGGTGCTGCCACCCACACTGCCTGTGACGACGTTCCCTTGTTCCTCTGGACGTTCCTCTGGAGTGAGTCGCCTCCATATTTATATAAATAGCAATAACCATTAGCTGCGTTTTCTATTCTCTAAAGTCCAGATTAATTGGGATTATTATTTGATTTTACAACACCATCACCGGAACCAGAAGCCTTTATATCTTATCTGTAAAACAAAAAATAAACCATAAAGATGTAATCAATTTAATAAAATTTATAAAATGTACCTGAAAATTGATTTCTCATATTTGGCGAAATCGCTCAACATTTGGGTCTAAATAGCTGATAATCGATTACAGCAGTTACTAATCATCACGTTCATAAAACTAATAAGCCAAAATAGCCAAAGCGCGCATTCTTTAGCCTTTAAAATACCTTTTCTGCAAATATTTTTTTTTTTTAATAGTAATTTTAAGGAGTTTAAAAAATTTGACAATGTTTAAGAATGATATTTTACCTTTTTACCGGCTCATTACATACATTATTGAAGGCCCTATATCAATATTACGCTCCCTAAAAATCTGTATAGCTTGTATCTACATCTGGCTAGAATGACGGAGTCAACAGCTTTGAATACTATTTTGAACTCATTACGACCTGATAATCGAACTAGTCTTATAGGCATGCTACAGTATTTCAATAGGTAGCAGGTTTTTCGCTATAGTCCGTGTGTTTTTTCGATCTAATTGGCGTGTAACCAAACCTGAGTTGTACACTATGATCATTATATTTGAGCATTTCCTGGTCTATCGTGATATATGGTTGGAGAGGTAGCGGCAAGGAGTTCGTTCTAGCTATGTGTATTTGTGTACTCTAGCCTAGTTTTACTCGTGTGCCTGCAATATCTCGACGCAAGTACGCGTCAGCCTTGCTTAGCGTGTCTGTATGTAGCCAAACTGCAGGCGTTAAACCAATTCAGGGATTCCGTTGACTAAATTGTAATCTATTTCTAATGTACTAATCCCTCCTGAGTCCTGGCACAGAAAACATATTACTATAACCATGTTTTCTGTGGTCCTGTTGTCCTGGACACTTGTGTTACTCTTTTGTAGGTAATCATTTAATTTCAAATAGACATTTTCTTTTTTAGATCATCGAATGATCATAATGATATTGAGACCCATGAAAAACTAGTTGTTTTTGATTTCGAACTAATTTATTTTAAAAGTCCAAATTTGAATTTGGACCGCGATAATCCATACTTCTTACATTGTTAAATGAAACAAGCTATCATAACATTTTATAATTTTCAAAGCATCATCTATGTTTTATATACATAAGAGTTTTCTCTGTTACATCCCTTTTGGCACCCCGTTTCTTGGTGTAACGTAGTGCTTCTACTTTAACAGAAGAAACTGTGGTTTTATACTATGTGGTCCTCAGTATACTTATCTCTTATGTCAACAGCAACAGCTTGCTATATTTTGCTCTCCATAGCTGTACGTTTTATCGCTGGCATTAGTTGAAACAGGGGTAGAAAATAAATCAAGACTACTCACTTTCAAATGTATATACTTTTGCAATGCTTTAAAACAGAACCCTAGTTTTTCCGATCCTTCAACTCCTTATTGAAAAAAAAATATATATATATATATATGTATACATATATTTTTAGAATCCAATCTAAATATTTTATTTGTATTTTATTTATACTTTTAATACCTAGTTTATGAAATATGGCCACTATCTTAATTAATTTATTATTTCATTTCATTTACATTACACGTATACTTTGCGGCTCGGTTCAAGGTCTAATAAACATATGGCTGCCTGACTAATGGTTGTTTGCCAAACATTGCTATCGTCATTCCAAATTGATTGCTCTTATTGCGTAATTATGAAGAGCAGCTTTCGAGTGAGGTGTCGTTTCAGGTAACTGTTCACACAAGAGTTTACTAGTTTCTTGCATGTGACACACTGTTTACTACGCTTGCTCTTCAATGATGACGAGGGGATCAATTCTGAATCTTCTAATACGTAAGTATGTGTAAGTTAAGGGCTATGGCCCCTACTGTTAATTTAAATAGATCAATTATAAAAAATTATAAACATACAACATTATTTCTTGGTGATGGTTTTTAAAGAATGAAATAGTTTCTATACAATGGTAAATATTAACTAACGACCTAAATACTGACATTAGAGGATGCAGATAATCTTATGATGTATTTTATGCATGTTTTTAGTTTTGTAAAAATATAGTAGTTTATGCACTGTTATGTGCTGTTAAATTCAATTATTAATTTTGAATAATTATGTTACCTTTTTTTAGTATTGATTTTTTGTTCAAACGTTTCAATGGCGAAGAGGGTATTCAAAAGAGAACCAAGTCTAAATATACCGAAAGAGGAGCTGACCAATCATATAGAGCTACGAAAAGTAAAGTAAGATTTAAATTATACTTACACATAAATATAAGCAAAACCACGGTCTTTTCCGTTAATTATAAATTAACAGCATATCCATTAACAAAAATACATGTTGTACATGTACATGTTATACAAAATGCATAAAATTACGGCAGTTAACTTATTTTCCATAAAAATAACATTAGAATTGTAAATTTCAAAATTTCTTCGTAACAAATAATTGTAAAAAAACACTTCAATATACTAAATATTTTTGTCTTTAAAATTGTACCAAGAGGATTTGGGTAATTTTATATTTTGAAAATCAAAAGTGAGAAACCCAATTTTTACCCTTTAAACCCCCCATAAAATCCCGTTCCTATGGTCTGACCATGCTCGTTCGCAAACTGATTCAAGTTTATCCTGCCCTACACTTGCAAGCCAAAAATGTCATTAAAATCTAACAAAGATTACTGAAGTTGTCACGGTTATGGACGTATATAAATTTGAACGAATTGTGTTTTTGCCCTCAAAAACATCAAAGTTAAAATGGGAATCGGTCCCGGGTCTAGGTCTTTCCCTATAGGGAAATTTTATAAATTGAAATGTCGTTATTAATCAATGGTTTTATGTGTATTAGACTTAACTAATATTACTCAGACACAAAAAACAATACATTAAACAATTTTTAAATAAACATGTTTTAAGAACTAAGAAACACCTATAATTCGGTAATTTGATTGTACGAATACATTTTAATATAAAGATATCGTGTTTGTAAAAAGGTAAAAAATATTAGCTAAGACTGTATGATGAGGGAACCTTTCATTATATTAACAAGAAGTTTTAAAATGAATCTAGTTGATCAAAACCAATATTCATTAAGTAGCAAATTAAAAAAATAAATAAATAAAAACAATAAAAAATAAACTTTTTCTAGTAGTAACATACCCGGTGCCCGAGGTCCCAGGTTTAGATCCCGTCAATCACCAATGGTTTTTACGGTTGAAAATATTAACTTATGACGGAGTTTAATGAATAACTAATTAGTGTAGGTTTGTGATTTACTTTTTAATATGACAACTATAAATATGTAAACGTGACTTATTATACAACACCGAAATATATCAAAATGTATGTTTTATACATCGTAGAATCATCACTGGACCACCACTAATAAATGTTTTGACTACCGTTTGGTGTTACAGTGTATTTCATTATTAATTCTCATATAGTGTAGCAGTATGTAGTAGTCACAATTTAAACAAATAACTACCTAATGTTTCTTCATTTTGTAATATTATTTAGAACGTTTTATAAACATTAATCTAAAATTCTTAGAAACAATTGGATGCCCAAGGGATTGGGAGAGGCTGAAGGTGGCGTACTACCTCGATTCGAAGGCAGTCCTGACGACGCACTAAAGATATTTGAAAGGAAAGGAGACAAGTATACGTTCGACAAACAACCGCTGGCTTCAGCTGATCAGCTCATGACGGACAGTTTCGGTTACAGAAAGGACAAGGAGTCCATTTTCATTCTACACACAATCGGAACCGACGCCCAACACCTTAGCGTAAGAAACGTCGTATCCGGTGAGTGTTGAGTATATGTTAACTTCAATACTATGCTTCGATTACGATTAGTCGACAAACGATTTTAGCGAATTTCCCCTATAGGGAATAAGCTATTACCGTAGTACTCATGGTAAGACCTGGACCCGGGACCGATTTACTTTTTCGTTTTGAGGTCCCCAGAGACCAAAAACACCATCCGTTCAAATTCATATAAATGTGTGTGTCCGTTAGCGCGATAACTCGAGCAAAAATCATCCGATTTTGATGAAATTTGGTACAAACGTGTAAACTTACGTTTATTCAAACGAGTTCGCAAACCAGCATGATCGGACTATGGGAACAGGGGTTTATGGGGGGTTTTATGGGGTAAAAATTGGATTTTCCCTTTTTTGACCCTAACAACTTAGAATTTTTCTTTCCAAACCATTTTGTAGAGCTTAAAAAACAAATAATTTAGTATAATGAAGCGTTATTATGCACCTGATGGTTACGAAGAAAATTCCAAAAATCTGTAAATAAAAGATCCCCATGTTATTCTTATGGAGAATAAGTAAACTGTTGTAGTTTGCTTGTTTATGAACATATTTTGATCAAATTTGGAAAATGCATTCCTTTCATACTAAACCATTACATTTTACAAAAAAAAAAAATACCTTTTTACCCTCCCTGTTGCAGCAAACCTAAACCTAATGTTATTTAAATAGGGAATAAATGTGATATTTTTAAGGAGACATTTTAGTGTAAATCCAGTCAGGCAAATGGAAATTCGGTTAGTCTGCAGGTTTCCTGCTGCGGGGGTATTACTTTCTTTGTTTAATTACCAGCTGTGCTTTAAATCGTATACATGAAATTAATAAAATCATATAAAACGTATTACTCGTATCACTTATTAGTCATGAGGACGCCATGAACATCCGTAATTGTAACTTCAGTATATTGATAATACCCCCAAAGCAGCAACTCTGCATACCAAGCTAATTTCTATTTGCCTAGTTCGGTTCTTACTACAATTTTTCCTATTATAGTAAGCACGATGACTGAAGTGAAAATGAAGCGGTTTTGATGACATTTGGTACAAACTTCTGAATCTACGTCCATTTGAACGACTTTGTTTACGGTAACATTTGAATTGGACTATAGAACGGGCCAAACCACACAATAGCATGAGCGAAAGGTCTTGCATTATAAATATTTTAAAAATAGTGCAAATAGTGTAAATAAATAGTGCTAAATTGAGGTGGCTTTCACAGGAAGAGCAAGAAGACAAAGGCCTTTTCATCATATAAATTAAGATTATCCAAGTGTTTTTGCAGTTGCCCACAATTATGATCAAACACATTTTAGACTGCCAATTCTAATAAGAATTTGTCAACAGCACTGGCTATGAGAAGGCTAATATGGAATGAGTACAACTTGTTTCTATTTAACATGCCAAACGTAATGGACTTCATGCTGAAACACGTCGTAAGATCAATATTTATTCCTGCAGGTAAAACTAAGGTAAATAATACAAATAAAGCTACAAAAATCTTTCTTTAGCTTTTACAAGACCAATATTTTTGTTTCGTCGCTTACTTAAAAACGTAGCTTCACTACAGTGTAGTACCTAATACGGTCTTTCATAATCCAGTTTTATAATTCAAGAGTTCATTTAATCTTTAGGCGTTGCTTTTATTTTTTCAATATATCAAATACCATCCCTCACTGTATTTCACTGAATGCAGTCCTAGTTTGAAATAGAGTTTGAAACATTTCTCATTTATGATACACTAGTACCATGAATCAGTCGTGTTTACGTTTTATTTATTCTTACTGTTACATTTTTTTCAGTTACAGGAAGTAGGTACAGTTTTAGGCAACTTTTTCAACTCATTAATTGTGAAGGAACTGATAAATGCCAATCAGATTCATATTGTGGGGTTCTGCTTTTCATCCCAAATTTCAGGATACATAGGACGATACGTTTCTTCTTATAATGGTGGAGAAAGAATAAAATCTATAACCGGTAAGGGAAACTACTACCTACCTAAAAACCTTTTGCAATAAACTTCATATTGCTGTTATAGCTATAAATTGAAGTCAAACAATTTATGATATTCGATAATCATTGCTAATAATAGCCAATTAGCTTAACTAGCTTAACTTGTCTTAACATAAAGTACCATTTGGGTATTATTTACATTTAATAATGTATATTTACAAAGACTTAAATGATTCTCTATTGACTCTCGACGATATGTTTACTATAAACATCGGATACCTAGATATACATCTCATAAAATATGCATTTAAATATATGAGGTTAGACAACTTTTCAATTAAAACAAATAAAAATAAGACATTACTGTAGCAACTGTAACTAATGTTTTATCCTACTAATATTATAAATGAGAAAGTTTGGATGTATGGATGTATGGATGTATGGATGTATGTTTGTGACAAGTGAACGCGAAAAATACTGGTCGGATTGGGCTGAAATTTGGCATGATGATAGCTCACATTCCCGATTAACATATAGGCATATTCTTATTTCAAAAATCCTTTCGGGCTCCGCCCCAGTGGCTCTGGAGTTTCCCATGTTAACCTTATGAGAAATGAAATTATTGAATCTTAACAGCTGTTTCAATTAAACAAGTTGGTTCTGTTCTGTGATGTTCAATAGCAAAAAAGTTACAAAAATTACCAACAGGGTGCAGCACTATTATTTCTTTTACATTTATGACAACAGCTAATTTGCAACCAAAAGGTGAGTGAGCGTAGCGAACGAACTTCAACCTGGAGGCGAGTTAGCGTAGCGAACGAACTTCAACCTGGAGGCGAGTTAGCGTAGCGAACGAGCTAACCTGAAGGCAAGTGAGCGCAGCGAACGAGCTCCAACCTAAAGGTGAGTGAGCGTAGCGAACGAGCTCAAACCTAAAGGTGAGTGAGCGTAGCGAACGAGCTCCAACCTAAAGGTGAGTGAGCGTAGCGAAAAAACTTCAACCAGGACGTGATTGAGCCATGCGAACGAGATAATCTTGAAAATTAAGAAGTTAAACGGGGCAAAGCCCGCGGGTTACAGCTAGTTAGATATAAGCAGCTTAATATTAAACAAGAATAAAGATTCTTGAATTCGATCAACTTCTTTAGTGGCATGATAAAACTTCCAAAACATATAAATGTTTCAAAAAAACATTGCCAAATCAATGAAATTTAGCATTGTTACTTTATGGTTACTTTAATAACCAAGAGTAGGTATAGGTCAGAGATGGGGAAGACACATAGATTAAATGAGAAGCTTTTCGATATTACTGATTAAGTAACTAAACTCTCATCTTCCATCCAAGAACAATACGATCAAAAAAAATCACAAAAAAAACATCTGGTGGCTGTATCAATTTGGAACGACGGTTGAATGGAAACAGTGATGACAGCAAACTCGTTCATGAAAATCCAAGAACAAACTGTTAGATTTCATCAGTCTTCCTATAAACCTAATGCCCCTACACAGTCCCTGCAAATACCAAAAGCTGATAAGCCAGTATGGTACCACACTATTGTTCCAAGACACGCAAGGATACCAAAGAGTCATCCGGTAGAATGGAATTTATAAAGGAAGAAAACTGTAATGTGTTCTTAACTATTTTGTTATTTAACCATTTGAAATTAACTAGCAGAGTACCCATCTTTTGTACGGGGTTGGTATATAAGTATAAAATGCTGATTGCAGTTATACTCAAGCTTTGCATTTGAAATGGGGAAGGACGCAGTTAGGTCAAATTCGGTTCTTTAAAATTACAGTATGCTATAGTATATAACACATATACCAATAGCCATAAACTTCTACCACTGCACCTACACAATATAAATTACCAAACATTCGCACAAAATCACAAATTATTAAATTAAAAACACAAACATAACTGTAAACAATCCTACTTTGACAGTTCTCACTGCATAGGCCTATCACAGCTATTTGTTGCTGCTTAGTTCAAATTAGCTGTTGTCATAAATGCAAAGAAAAAAATAATAGTAGGCTGCACCCCGTTGGTAAACCTTATATTTTTGTTGATGCTATTGCATATCATAGAACCAACTTAAATAGTTGAAACAGCTGACTAAATTCTTTAATTTCTTTTATATAAACACTCACAAGGTTAACATGGGGAATTTCAGAGCCACTGGGGTGGAGCCCGAACGGATTTTTGAGCTAAGAATATGCCTATATGTCAATCGGGAATGTGAGCTATCATCATGCAAATTTCAGCCCAATCTATCCAGTATTTGATGTGTGATTGAACTTCAAACAAACAAACACATAAATTTTCACATTTATAATATTAGTATTATTTATTATGATATGACTATTTCTTGTTGCTATGCTTATTTTTTACAAGTTCACCTACAAAACTTTGTTTCAAAATAAAATAAATATTATTTATTTAATACATTTGATTAATTAAATACGTTTCACTATGTATAAGACTTCTAAAAGGATTACGAAAATCAAAGAAGACGCTAAATATAAGGATTGGAGATGGGTTTCATTTGAAGAAAACAGCTGATTGCACCAGGTTCCTGGTGGAACAAGAAAATTGTTGGTTCAGAGCACAGATAAACATATGAACACACATAATATATAACATCCTCCGGGTAGTAACCAAACAGTAAAACATAAATCATTAAATTAACTCTAAATATTGAAACGACATTTGGCCAACATTTACTAGACACGAAAAACGAGTATCTAGATTTATAATAGGAAGAGAAGTGTGCTTGTGTTGGTTTGTCTATAGTTATACCAAAATTTAAACAGGCTTTTAAATAGAATGATCATCAAATTTGACAAAAAAACTCCCTTTCTGGATGAAAATGGAATTCTTGGAGTTCAAGGACAGCTGAAAAATGTAAAATGCCTAGCATATAAAACAAATATCCAATATATTGGACCCAGAACATTGTTTTACGAAGCTTTTGATGGATAGATACCATAAGATAATTTTTCCTCAAGTACAAAAGACTGATAATATGTAATTTGACAATGTTACGAAATGTTTTGTCAAAGAAACAGTAAGGAGTAGCTAAAATCTAAGCCCTGTACTTTACGAGTATTTTGGGCCAAGTATGAAAGGAGATAAGTGTACGATGAGTGACACGATCTTGCAGTCTTGTTAGTGACTAGGGCCTATAATGGGAGATTTAACAGAAGCAAGACTCACAGCTCACCCTTCTATAGTACTGGAATAGATTAATTTGGTCGAATGACAGTAATAATGTAACTGATGGTAGAAGAAACGAGAAGAGGTATGGGGTTTTTATTCACATTACTCCAGCTATATATATAGAGATCTCATTAACAAACTAGTGTCACCACAGTAATGACAGTAAAAAAATTTATCGTAAGAAGAGGATCACCAAAAATGAAAAATCCCAAGAGTAACCTATACACTTTTCTTTAATTATTGGTACTAAATAATTTAAGTAAAATGAAATTGTTATTAAATCATTATGAATTTTCGATCAAAGATCAATATGAGGCTCTAAAAATAATTAGAGGATAAATAATTTTGAGGGTACTGTTTTTACCAAAATACCTTTTTCAGCTTTAGACCCATTTACACTAGGGTTATCCGGAGTGTTCAACAAACCCGTTTCCAAGGACGACGCTCAACTAGTGCACATATACCACACCAACTCAATCGCGCTTGGAACACTTTACCGCAGGGGCACCGCTGATTTCATCTTCAACAACGGTTGGATACAGCCCGGATGTTACTTTTGTAAGTAAAATCACTGTAGCTCACATTCTCCATTTTGAGTAGGTAACCTTTTAGGATGGCGCCTTTTAAATTTAACTTTAAAATAATTCACAGAAAATTTTCATAAACAAGCAGTCCTATGATATTGGCCATTTTGAACTGTTTCAACACAAATAATATTATTTTGAGTAGTACGTTGCCACCACAGTAAGGAGGGGGTGAAACCCATTTTGGTTTTAGTAACCTAATACAATTTTCATTTGTTATTTACTTTCACGTTATTTGTAATTAAGATTTTTTTATCAACCCCTCCTTATTAATTATATTTCTGGCTGGTGTGTTAAATAAATTACACTAGCAGATTATATGACAATTAATACAACATAATTTGTCATAAATAAGTTAAATTTATATATTAGTTGTGACAAAGAAGGATTTTGTCCACGCCACGGAAAGTACTAAGACAATATCGTGGTTTGATTTTTCAATTTAAAATCTCAGAGATTTATTATTTATGCATATACTGGAGTTCAAAATGTGCATTATATTTACCTAGGAGTACGTCACAAATAATGTATTCAACAAAAAGTGTTTGGTTTAAAAAAAAATTATAAAACCACTGTGAAGGACAAACTTAATGATTATTTATTTAACTGTATTCCCACGGTTTTAAACTATCTTCTTTCCAAAGTAAACAAACATCTTTTAATTTACATTATTTACACAATGGGGCATATAATACTTTCACTAGCGTAATAGACAAATGTAATAGTTAAATTTTTTCTTCAGCGGAAAATTACAACTGCAGCCATTGGAAGGTATGCAAATATTTCTGGAACGTAATCCTGTATCCTGAGCTGTGGGTCGCAAGGTCATGTCCAAGCTGGCTACGTTTCAAGACCTGTCTTTGTAACGCCAGAGCAAGTGTGTCAATTACGTTCCCGCCTGTGGAAGGGTGAGATATGCAGAGTGTTTAGCCAGTAATACACGTAGAAACTAATCACTTGAGTTAACCAAATATATTAGTTTGTTGAAAAAGGTTTAAAACCTCATTAATATATTTCATTTGGTTTATTTTATTGAAGAATAGATACCAAACTTTACTTTTAAGTTTTAATTTGGTTGTTTAATCTATTTCAAAATTAGTTTGTTGACTCGGTAAATTATAGTACACAAATTACCTCTGATTTGCTGGTTCAGAAGTAGACTTTAGGGTAGTAAAATCATGATAAACCTTTCAAAGGTCTTATGAATAATAAATATTACAAATGGTCAGGCGGAGCCTTGTCTACTTTTTCTTTCTCCCTCTATAGTAGGTAAGTATAGGGGAGAAAGTATGTTTTTTGTCAACATTTGATTTTTGGTGGATAATATCTGTTTTGGGCCCCTCCTTAAACCAAAAAAGTGGTTATCAAAATTATGTGCAATTCAGTTCAAAAATCTTTATTCATATAAAATAGCTTTTATACAATTCCATGAGCAACCATGTGTTGTAAACACGCGTGGTTGAAAACTTAAAACTATATCTTATATTCTATATAAATACTGTGTAAATAAAGTGTGTCTGTCTGTCTGTGTGTGAGTGTGTGTGTTTGTGCTAAAAATCTACCGATGGTCAGATTTTGATTACATTTGGTAAATGGTCCATGGCATCTCTAGAAGATTTACCATTTTTTTTTTGATATTTTGATTTTAATGGTGATTTCTCCATAAAAACCCTTAAAACAACGGTACCCCCATCACTGTAACATTTACGGTTCAAAAGTCATTGCAACTTTTGCAATTTTATTTATTAAATATCATAGTTGCTCCCATAAATCTTTGTGGCTTTTGTCGACTGAGTGTACTAAATATGATATTTCTTTCAATTTATTCCCATTACTATGAACTATTGCAGATCCTACACGTACTTTCTCATCTTTCTTGTTGTGAATCTTCTTCTCAGGTGTTTGTTTCAAAACCACGTCATAATATCCAATCATATACCTACTTTTTAACTATTTATTTTACTAACTAGAACACCGTGTTACAGTGCACGAGGATCGTACTATTTGAACACGTTGGCTCATAAGCCCTACGGCATTGGTCCTCAAGCAGCCTATTGCTACACCAGAAAGATTGACAAGGATACGCTATAAATAAGCAATGCTGGCAACCAATAAAAACTTTAAAAAATTTTAGTTTTATTTTAACAGGCAAATTGATTATTTAAAACATCCCGTATTTTGTAGTATAATGCAATATAAATCCTTACATAATACACTGTGTACCATGTGTTTAAGATAAAAGTAGCTCAGCTTTTACTTTATTAATCTTGATCGCTCTCGATAACTATTACGTTAAGACTAGGCAAAGTTCTTGGTAGGAAATTGGCTTGGATAGTCTATCCCTCTTTTTTTAAGACAACCATTACTCACTCGTTTGTATGCCAATTTTATCTTTTATTACAGTAGAATATTACTAAAATATTTACTAAACCTAGATGGCTAGACTTCTCAGATGTCCTTTGCTAATAAACAAATGTCAGTAGATAGTGTCCACTTTCTTTCATGCAGGATTCAAGCATTTTTTTTTTTTTATTTTTCCATTACACGTCTTGGCATTTGATGGCCACCATTAATTTGCACCCTTCCTTGTTAATTGCATCCTTAACAGACATCAGGGTTTGAGGTTTGTGAGTGTAGGCTTGACATTTTATAACGCAAAAAAAATCACTAACGCTCAAATATGGCAACCTTTGAGCCACAGTATATCACGTGAAACGTGAAAACCGCATCATATAAACGTAAAAGCCTTCCAGGACTATTAGGCGGATGTATACGCTTGCATTTTGTGCATAGCGGACGGTAGGTGGATATATCCGCATATTATTATGACAGTTATTGTTATAGTTGATTGTCTATAACATCATTAATCTTCGTAAAATCGTCCGTTTATTCAATTATATCTTTAACCGATGTACAAGGAATGTTTTTCTAGAAGAATAAGAAATTTAATAATTTTTTTTATTAAATACAATTTTAAACTAACCTAAATCTTTTAAGAAATTTAATACAAAAAAGTAAAAAAAATAGTTCGGACAAAAGTGCTGCATCGGTCACCTTTTTACAACATTCTATAAATTATAGACATTGTTATGTTTTTATTTCAACTAGTGTCCCTGTTGCTCGAAATCGAGCAATTGCTAAGTATTACAGGCGTTATTTTAAAACGAATAACAGTCATATTTTTTTATGACTATAAAAGATTCGACTCAATGATTACTCAAGATGTACATAACAGATCGATATAATCAACATTTCTTGTAAATATCTTATCATTTTTCAAAAGCAGATTTTGTTTTTTAGTGTTTATAACACACATTATTTCTATTTCTTCCCCTTGGTGGTGTACTATGACTTTCCTATGTTTCCATAGTTTGCAAATCGTCTCTTTCAATGATTACTAAGAAATGCAGCACAGTGTTAATTCAGTTTTCTTTTTAGTATATCAATTTATCCAGGCTCTCTCGTTTTTTCCCATTGTAATAATTACGCCAACCCAAATTCAAATAGTAACTATTTCATTTCAACCGAGTAAGTAAATGTTTGTGGCAAACTAACTGTTAAATTAGCAAACTTATTGACTGTTTACATTTAACATATGTTCTTCTTCTCACTTTTAACTTCTGACAACAGCTGGAGTTTCATAACAATGTTTGTTTCCCATGTTAATCTTATGGAGAAATACGAAACTTTAAAGAGCCCCAGGGCCTTACTCTCTAATTATTTCCCTAAAAAGGAAGTTTCCTGCACAACTTCACGTTACGCTCTTTCCAATGACACCAAGAACATGTAAATCGGTTCAGTAGTTTCGGAGGAGTAATTGTCACAAAAAACCTGCTTGCGTATTAAATAAGTACTAGTGTACATGTTGCTCGAATTCGAGCAATTGTAAAGTATTACAGGATTTGCAAACCAATAACAATCATACTTAGTTATCAACATTTCAACAAAAACATACCTACCTTCCCTGTAGCAGCAAACCTAAGTACGCATATTAAAATTAACTTAATGTTATTTAAATAGGAAAAAAATTACCATTTTAAGGGAATAATTAATCTTTGTAATAATTAAGCCAGGTAAATGGAAATTCGCTTAGTCTGAAGGTTTGCTGCGGATACACAATTTTAATAACAGTAAAGATTGAAGAATCTGAATTTTTACTTATATCCATGAATTTATCTAACAATTATTTCCTGTAAAATATTATTACACCAGTTCAAAAATATTGAAACTAACTCAATCAACAAATGATGTTGAAAGAATTCCATACTAATGACATTAACATATAGTTTGACAGTTCCATTTAATCAATGTTAAATGTTTACATTCTGGCATAGACAAAAATGATTCGGGCGAGTGACATATTTGATTCATGTTTATGATCCCTACCGTTCCTGTTCTAATAATCATGCAGTATTTAATATGTTTGTACCAGCTGTGTGGAATTGTGAAATCAAAATTAATTTGACAGTTAGTTCTGCTTGTTTACATTTTTAAATTTTGTGGGTTGTTCTTTGTTACCATGGATACCATCAATAAATATTTCACTCTTAATTTCTGACAACAGCTGGAGTTCCATAACAAATTTTGCTTTCCATGTTAATCTTATGGATAAATACGAAACTTTAAAGGGCCCCAGGGGCTCACTCTCTAATTATTTCCTTAAAAAGAAAGTTTCCTGCACAACTTCACGTTACGCTCTTTCCAATGACACCAAAAACATGTCAATTGGTTCAGTAGTTTCGGAGGAGTAATTGTCACAAAAAACCTGCTTGCGTATTAAATAAGTATAGATATAGATAAAATAATTTTGCTGTCTGTATAACACAGTCTGGGAAGGGACTGGACACACCACGGCCATTGAATTCTGATCAGGGTGGACGATGAATCTTGTTGAAAATAAACATAGGTACGGTATTGTTTTATCAAACATTGTTGTCTCACCTGTTACCTGAAAAAAGTGCTTGATCATATCTA